GACTCAGAAATCAACCATATTTTGTCTTTCCATATTATGAACGATCATGACCCAGTTTTGTCAAATTGAAAAGTAAAAATTGTTTGCAAACTTTTTTTTTTTAAATACAAATGCTTGACTGTACCTTAAATGAAATGCATGTAAATCCAAACTAAATTATTAAAAGCAGTATAATCCAGAAATTAAATGAATTCCTTGACCACATGTTTTTTTTTGTTGACAAACATGATCACTTTTGGCGGGAAAAATACTTGGGGAAACACCTTATTAACAGACAACCCTGTCTGGATATTTATAGACATTTAAAATAAACAGCTGATATAGGAGTGCCAGGAAAATAGTTAAACTTGGTATATATAATTCAATCTACACCAATTTAATTGGGAAAAGGGTGTAAAGGGGAAGGGGTTAATTTGTAAAGTTATTTTTTTTTTGTCATTTAAATTTTGGTAACTAAAAATCACCAGACAAATTCTTTTACTGAGTTTATTACTAAATAGTCCATTCATATTTTTCAAAAATATGTTCCTTTAGGATAAGGGGGACTGGCCAAATTTTTTGCAGTTTTTAAATTTTTCTAAAACTAAAAAATCATGTTAATATAAAGGAAATTAAGGGGGTAGACATTCTAACACTTACATTAAAGTTACTACAAATGGTTATATGTGCCAGACATACACATGATCGATTTGTTTTGCTCTGTTGGGTTTTAAAAAAAAATTATCAAGATATAAAAAAAAAAACACCTACCTACCTACCCACCTACAACGATGTGGGTAGGGGTGTGGGGAAACATACATTTTTTTAATTGTGGCCTAAGACACCTGATATTGAGTCCTTCTGAAAGAATTTCATGTTCTCTCTGTTATCGATACCAACAGGGTGTTTTAACAAAAAATCAGCTGGTAGACCGCTTCTGTTTTTGCGGACTGTTCCACATGCAGCAGTGTTATAGTTATCAAATAGGTCTTGGAAGAGTTTTGGTGAAGAAAAGAAATTGTCAACATACACATGGTATCCCTGCCCAACAACATCAGCACCCTCTATACATTTCTTGACAACATGTGCACCCAAATGGCCTTGTGGTCTGTCAGTTTTCCCTGTATAAACATCTGTATAGCATATATATCCTGTATTGGATTCTGCCAATGCCCATATCATTATACCCCATTTAGAAGGTTTGGCTAGAATATACTGCTTGAACTTGACCCTTCCTTTGAAGGGGATCATACATTCATGTATTGAGACCTGGCGGGTAGGGACAAATTCTCTTTTCATTGACGTATTAAACATATTCAAGATGTTTCTTATTTTATAAAGTACATCATAAATGACGGATGACCTGGTTGTTGAGCATTTTGGTTGTCACTGAAATGAAGGTACCTCATGATTTCCATAAACCTATTCCTGGACATTGTTTTACGGAATATTGGAGATTCCATGAAGGGATCAGTTGACCAGAAAAGTTTGATTTCTGGTTTTACATCAATTCCCATCAAAAAGCAAAGACCAATAAAAGCTTTTATTTCTAGCAGATTTGGTTTTGACCAACGATATTTATTACTGTCTGGGTTTTCAGCAATTTGTTGGTTGGCATATTTTTCAGTTTCATTTATTATGTGTTCAAAAATTATGTCATTCAAGAAAATTTTAAAGAAATCTATTGGACCCTTATCAGCAGCTAAAATGGTAGCTGGGCCTGTTGCCCTTCCAGCTGGACCTCTAGGTTCGAATAAATGAGGTAAACCCCTTTCATGAATGTCAAAATTGTTATGCCAGGTGTTTGCAACATTGTCTATATCTGGCACTACGTGGTCATTGACATCATAGATAGGAATGGTCGGTTCTGTTTTCGAGCCCTCAGACTCGTTCGTTTCCTGAAGTATTAAATTCAAAATCATCCACAATTCCTTGATCTAGTAATTATTGTTCGTATCGTTGAACAGCCTGTTGAATTTCATCGGCTTCAAAACCTAAGAATTCCTCGTTTGAGGAATCGGACATTTCAATTGCTTTCTTTGTTTACAGACGACATTTTTTAATCACATGATATTATCACATTTCTTTCTTTTTAGTAGATCCCTCCACTATCTGGAGCACCACAGGTTATCTGTGTAATCAGAGCAACAGGTTTGAAAATATGTATAAAACTTCTTCTGCATGTGCGGGCCTACGTTTATATCTTCGCACTACACAGTAGAATTAGTCTGTACAGCATCATATAAGGAGATTATATACACATCTTACCCATGTTACCCACCACCTATAAAAACACGTAATGTACAGTACTCATAACTATAAAAGTCACACTACTAGATTTAAAATTCTTTCTTGTCCAATCACAAAACTTCACAATTAAAAAGTCTATTCCTCGTGTGAATTAAAACATCAAATTACTGTCCAACAACTGTCTCTGTTAGCAATAGCTTCCACTATAAAATGACCTCTGCTTAAATTATCATCCAAACAATATGATAAACATTATCTTAATCTCAAAACTTATTATTAAAATTAGTCAATTAACGTTTAGGATATTGTATTTAAATAACTCAATGCCACAGGATTTCTCTACTTAATCCATGTAATCTTAATAAAAAGTTTTAAATTGCTACTAAAAGATAAAAGGACTAAAAGGTAAAATCGACTACTAGCGGACCTAGCCCTTGGATTAACCCCAGCCTCACCCCACGTGTATATCCAGGCTGGAACATCTTTCCCGGTGTAAGGCAAAACACAATCCTCTGGACATCGCTTCCATCACATGTATAAAGAAGGGAACCCCGAGTTTTAATTGGACGATATAAGGTCAGAGTTATAAATAAAATGAAATGTGAATACACGTTCCAACGCTCAATGCCAGTAAATAATAAAAGAGTTGTTGGGTATTTATTTATTAGAAAAATTTGAAGAAAATATCAAGATCTATGAGAGACATACTCGGTTTGTCAGTTTGAATCACTCATATATTGTAATAAGTTATCAATTGTGAAAATAAAATCGTAACAATATGCAAATAAGTTCCAAGAAACCTCTATGTGACTTTAGTGCACCAGGGAAACACGTGGTAGAATGAAAACATTGAAATTTGTTTTTTATTTGGACTCGGATTAAACTACAAGATAGGTATTTTTTCGCACCGTAGAAAGATGATACATGACCATTCAGGATATACCTGGTTTCTATGAAGTTAAACATAAGGTAAAATATTTTGAAAGCTGTGAAATTTGCAAATTTTGGTTAAATAGATAGGAATTTTGAATTGGTGGTCAGACACCTAAATGCACCCGGATTTTTTCGTCAACTGTTAAACCATGATCAGAGCTCAGATTGGCTTCGATAAAGATGCGCCTAAATGATCAATTTAGACAGGAATGGCATTCACTTATGTTAAATTCACCAAAATCCATAAATTATAGATTATTTAAAGAAACATTTGAGTTTTAAAACTTTTTAAATATTAAAGAACCTTAGTGAGCGCGCTCACATACCCCACGTCCCCACATTGTCATGGGAGAAATAAAATAAGTGTAAGAGAAAAAAAAATTGAATCATAATTTCCTGTCAATATGCACATCTACATAGTATGTCCTTATTATCTACAAAGTTTCATGAAATTCTGTTGTGTGGTTTCAGAGGAGTTGTGATGACAAACTGTTGCAGAAGTACATTGAAGCAAACAAGTTCAAAGGGGCGTAACTCCTAGAAAAAAAATTGAATCGTAATTTCCTGTCGATATGCACATCTACATAGTATGTCCTTATTATCTAAAAAGGTTTCAAGAAATTCTGTTGTGTGGTTTCAGAGGAGTTGCGATGACAAACTGTTGCAGTAGTATATTAAAGCAAATTAGTTCAAAGGGGCGCAACTCCTAGAAAAAAAATTGAATCGAAATTTCCTGTCGATATGCACATCTACATAGTATGTCCTTATTATCTACAAAGTTTCATGAAATTCTGTGGTGTGGTTTCAGAGAAGTTGCGATGACAAACTGTTGCAGTAGTACATTGAAGCAAATAAGTTCAAAGGGGCGTAACTCCTAGAAAAAAATTTGAATCTTAATTTCCTGTCGATATGCACATCTACATAGTATGTCCTTATTATCTACAAAGTTTCATGAAATTCTGTGGTGTGGTTTCAGAGAAGTTGCGATGACAAAAGGTTGCAGTAGTATATTGGGCAAATAAGTTCAAAGGGGCGTAACTCCTGGGAAAAAAAATGATTCGTAAATTTCTGTCGATATGCACATCTACATAGTATGTCCTTATTATCTGAAAAGGTTTCATGAAATTCTGTTGTGTGGTTTGAGAGGGGTTGCGATGACAAGAAACAGGACTGGCGGACTGACGGACAGACGGACAGACAGACGGACGGACGGGTCAAAAACATTATACCCTTCGCAAAAAATGTGCGTGGGGTATAAAAAAAACAATGTTATAAAAATCAAAATTTGAAGGGCAGGCATAGGATCTAAGATGTTTAATAAAAATCAGAACGAATGACAATTCATTTGGATTTTGGCACTACAGTAGCACAAGACAAATAATGTTGAGACTGAGAGAAATTAAGCAATAATTTTTATACTTTTAAAAACAACTCTATTATGACGCTTCTAATTCGAATACTGAGGACATATGGTGTACGTGCGTAACGTCACAATTAAAACTCCAACGTCATTAGTATTTTGAACAATACCGGAGATCAAAATTGACATTTCTGTTGGTGTTGCTTGCTGAGAAAAGTTAATCCAAATCATCCTGAAAGTAAGTTTACATGTTTCAACTCTTTTTTAACCGTGAAACAGATGCCCAGGTTTTCTGTTCTTCATCAGTTTGAAATCAAAATGACTTCCTTTTGAACGTGTCTGATAGGCCTGCTTCATGTCATGCTCATGTCCAGTTTAGCATGGGTAGGCATTATATTCGTCAATATAAAATAATTTACACACTGCTAACTATGTGATACATACACGTAATTTACAACATTTGTCTTGTTATACGTACCCACTTTTCACCAAACCTGTCGAACAATCTATCAATTTCACTACTATCAGTTGGATAAAACAAGTTCCCTTTTAATCGTTTGCATATTGCCTACAATGGAAAGCAAATTACAAATTATATAAATATGCTCAAATTCGGTAATAATCGTACTTTTTTAACTGGAGATTTTATATTGAAAATGATCAACTCCTCTTGCGACTTTGCATAAATTATGAACTAAGCAATAAAATTAGCCGTTTCAGAATCTAATGCATTCTGGGTAATATTTTTAAAAGTGTACACCAAAACTTCGTGATTGGTTAAAAACGTCATTAACAATGGAAATTCAATCATTGACGTGACGTTATTTTGAGGTACGAACAATAAGATTACCCATAGTCCTTTAGATTTTGAAACGGACAAATGAGAATGGAAACGGGGAATGTGTCAAGGAGACAACAACTCGAGCAAAGAGCAGAAAACAACCCAAGGACACCAATGGGTCTTCCACGCAGCGAGAAAATCCCGCACCCGGAGGCGGGCTCCAGCTGGCTCCTAAACAATAGTGTACACTAGTTCAGGAAAAATGGGCACCACAACATATATATGAACAAATATTTAAAAAAGAAACAGACAAGACTTGCTAAAGGTTTGAGACTTGGGACAGGCGCAAACAACACATTCTTTTATTTTTTAACAAAATATTTTCTTTTAAAGTAGGTATACAAGCAATAGGCATTTATATTATGAAAGTGATTTTGCTAAAATATGGCAAAATCATAAGGAACTTAATTATTAATTAAGTTATTTATTTATTAAAGTAATGTACACATGGTACATTTATATTAATATTATATTAATTCGCACCATGTACGGTCTTGTGTCAAAAGCGTTTCATCTAATCCAAATTCCCCTATGATTTCATATAAAAACATATTTTTTAAAAACATTGTCAAAAACTAATTTGAGGTCTGATTCTAATGAATTTTTGTGTATGCAGTTTGTTATGATTATCATGAAATATTTTTATGACCTGTCATTACTGAGAAATCATTATTTGTATACAAATATTGAAATTCGTTGTAATTTTTTACTAAATAGTATAATCTTTATTGCAAAAAAGTAAAACCCTGACGGGTTAAAATGCAAACATAATATACACAAGAAACATACAATACATGAAAAAAAATGCTAAACAAGTCAAGTTAATATTAATAATATATATATAAGTATATAGGTAGTTGACCAATGTGGACCTTATTTTCGCAATTCCATGGATTGCTTTATATAGCCTACAACACTAGACAAAGTATCTCTATTGGGATCTAAAATAGTTTAAAGTTAAGAGTTTGGGTCAAGCTAGTTAAAATTAGGATAATGTGTTTTCATTGCATTTATAAGGGGATTTCTAATATTGCTGTGGATTTGGCAATGAAGGAAAAAGTGTTCCTCATCATCTAAAATTTTACAAGTTTTACACACTCTTTTAATTTTTTTTTATATCGACCTATTTCAGTTTTCAAGTTATGGTCACTTATATGGAATTTGGTTAAAAGTTGACGACTATTAAAATTGTTTAGATTGTGTAGGTAGTCTTCCAGTTTAATTTCATTTTTAAGTTTACTATAATGGTTAAGTTTTGAACTGTTATCGATATTTGAAAGTTTTTCAAGAGTGATTTTATTATACTTTTTTTTAACAATATGTTTTAAGTTTTTTTTAAGTGAATTTTTTGTAAGTTTAAAAGGTTTATCAAAATCAACATATTTTTCTTCATCAATATTAAATTCTTTAAAAATTTGCTTTGCAAAAGTATGCCAAGTATACATTCCATCTTCAGACATAGATATAAGAAGATGTGGTATGAGTACCAATGAGACAACACTCAATCCAAGTCACAATTTGTAAAAGTAAACCATTATAGGTCAAAGTAAGGCCTTCAACACGGAGCCTTGGCTCACACCGTATTTACTTTGAAAGCTTCTTTAACAAGAGGGTTTATTTCATGGCAGTTAATTCTACAAAAATATAATAACACTTGAGTTTTTTTAAAGGAGTCAAGTGGAAACCGTCCTTACTCAGACTTTGCAGCTATATTACATGAGGTTTTTTTAATTCCAAGAACAGTTTCACAAAATTTATGATGCACTTTTTCAAAGCTGAATCTATCTGTCAAGGATAAAATATCACAGTTAGTTCCATGCATTTTGGCTCTGTTCATGGCTCTAAAAATTGAGTAATAATATTCCATAAACCAAATTTCGCTTTTATATAAAATTATGGGTTTAATTAGTGAATCAAATAATTTGCATGATAAATCAACAGGGACATGGTGAAAATTAGACATATATTTTTTTAGTGAAAATAACGCTTTAGGCGCTTTCTTGAATAGTTCATGTGTTGATCTCTTCAATCTTCCTTTATTATCAATAATGTTCCCAAGAAAATTATACTCTTTAACTCCAGTTAATTGATTTTGTTTATAGACAAATTTTTACTCAAAAGAATTTCTAGAATGAAAAATCATTATTTTAGTTTTATTTGTATTCACAGTCAGTTGCCATTTGTAGCAATATTTTTCCAGTTTATTCAAAGCAGATTGTAAACCATTTTGTGATTCTGATAATATTAAAATATCATTAGCAAAACTAAGACTATTCATTGATGCTTCGTTTAAGGACACAGGATCACACGTTCCATAAAAAATTGAATGGAGATCATTAATAAAGCAATTAAACAATGTGGGGCTCAAATTGTTGCCTTGTTTGACCCTTTCTTTATTTCATAAAAGTCAGATCGTTTATTATCTATTTTAACTGAAGATTCACAACACTTATATATATCTTTAATTACTTCAAATATTTTCTTTCCAACAGCATCCTTCTTTAATTTGTATAAGAGACCAGCATGCCAAACAGTGTCAAATGCACGACGCAAATCAACAAAAGCAAGAGTAAATTTTACTCTTCTTTTTTGTCAAATATTTTATCATCAAAGTTTTTAGAATAAAAATACTGTCTGCTGTCCTATGATTATTTCCAAATCCAAATTGGTGAACTGAAAATTTTTCTTCAAAATAAGTTACCACTCTAGAATTAATAACAGCATTAAAAAGTTTAGCAATACAATTTTGAAGAGAAATTCCCCTAGTATAATTATCAATATCTAGCTTAATTGTCTCCAGCTTTATGAATAAGTACGGTAAAGGATTTTCTCCAATTTGATGGATATTTACCAGAATCAAGAATTAAATTAAAAAGCTTAGTTATAGCCTTACAAGTAACAACACCACTATATTCAATAATTACATTAGAAATTTGATCTGGACCCGAGGCTTCCCAGCTTTTAATTTTTGTATACATTTATTTACTTCATTGATAGTAAAAGGTTTATCAGTTAGTGTCCTCATTGACTATAAAGTTCATTTGATTCTTTTAATATATCGGTTTCAATTTTAGCTTTAAAATTTTTATCATAGTAGCCGGTCTCTCCTTGATGCTTGAAATGAGCAATAATTTATGGGAAACCAGCTTGAAGCTCAATTCTATTATTAGTGTTCTCATATTTTAATGATTTTAATAATTTCCAATATTGTTTAGGGACTGTATCTCTAAGGGCTGAAAGCTTACTAAATATTTCTTTTTTAAATTGATTTTTCTTCCTTTTAATTATTTTTTTACATTGATAACAGTCACCAAGAAAATCATTTCTTAAATTGAGGTTATAAGGATTTATTCGTAATAATTTGGCTAGATTTGATACAGTTTTCTATACATCAGCTAATTCTTTATCTTCCCGTGGTTTTTTCCTTTTTAATTTCTTTTTACGAAAGGATTTAATAATTTTACATGAGCGCATGGTTAATGTTTAAATTTTTTATTTAGTTGTAGTTCTGCTCTCTCAACTCCAGAAAAATTTATTTCAAATGGTGTATTTTCATAACCAAGAATTTCATCTCTGGTGCTTCTTTCTTCTAAAACAGTATACAATTTTTCCTTAGAAATAGTCTCCCATTTAAATGTCATATCTATCTCACTATATTTTCTATCTATATTCATATTTTTCATGGATTTATAACCTTTTAAAAAGACAACAATTTGAGCATGATCAGATAAATATGAAGGGTCTAAGATTTGTAAAAAACTAACAGAGTTAATAAGGTCCACACTGGTCAAGGTAAGGTCAACAGTACTACACCCACTGGGTTTAAAACATGTCATATTTCCCAGCATATCACCAATAAAACGACCGTTCAATACTCTTAGCTGGGAGGCAATACAGAGATCAATCAACTGCTGGCCCTGCGAGTTAAAAACTTCAAAGAATTTCTATCTATATTAAAATCTTGAACATAATCCTCTGGAAGTATATCTTGTACAGAACTATGAATTTTATTTTCATCTGCTATAAAATCAACCAGACTCAAGCTAGCGACCAATTCAAGCGACCAATCAAGCTAGCGACCAATTCTATTGACCACTAAAGTTAACAATGAGGATCAACACGTTACAGAACCATTTAGAGATATGTCTGAAAACCACAAAATGACATTATGCTACAACGTTCTACTAATATTTAATACTTAATATATCGCTATTAATTGTTTAATGGACATTTGTAATAAGAATAAATGCTTATACTTTTAAAAAGGAAACACCAATTAATTTTATTTGAATTTTACTTTTGATTCCAAGAAATTAACGTGAGGATCGTGTTTGCTCGAGGCTAATGCTCTAAATTAGTTATTCAGTTTTTGAATATTTTATATGAATTTATGAATGATTTTATTCTCATAAACTAGTACATAGCTACAGAGAAAATAACAGTTCATATATCAAACATATTTTGTTTCGCATTTGTGAAAAATAAATAACAATATAATAGTAATACAGTTCCTCTAACCAGGAGGACAGACTTTCACTGATATGTATCGTATAAATCTACACAATTTGTCTAGTTCAGCAACATTTTCAGATGAGAATACATTATTAAATTTAATAATGCTTGCAATTCTTTTACAATAATGTGGTAAATATTTTTCTCTTTCTATGTTAACAAAATTGCACGACATTATGTAGTGAAATTCATCGCCAATATCTGTAGAGCTGCAT